AAATTATTAATTTGATATAAATTAAGAGAGTTTTTTTAAAACCTAGAATTTTGCACGCTTTTTTGTTTCTTATTAGATCTTAAAAGTTTTAAATATCTTTTAGTTCAAATTTTACAATTTAAATTTTTGTTGCTTCCTAAAAAAATTAAATAAAGTTTTGTACTTACAAACTTTGCGATAGGAATCTGGAGACACCGAGCTTGGATATTGTATTATTTTTCAGTCCTTCAAACATTATGACGAAGGAAACACGCTGGCGGAAACTGCACGCACTTTTCAGCCGTAATGACTCTCCTCGGTCTCGCGAATCCTTGTTTTCTCCTTTCTCGCACCGCCGCGTGTGCAGAAAAAACAACACACGCAGAGAGAGAGCAACTAATTATGGTACTCTACGAAGCAAACGAAGCCGAGAGCGGAGAGAGAAAGAGAGACAGAAAGAGGAAGAGAGTTTGTGTTATGTGTGGAGAGGAGCGTATTTTTGCTTAGGCCGTTGGGAACTTTGCTTGCACAGATCTGGAACACGACTGACTGCCGACTACGAGTTGTCGGGCACAAAGGGGGCGTGGCCGCGCGCGCGAGCCACCCTCGTATCTTTCGCTCTCGCGCCGCTCGCTCGCAACCCCCTATATCAACGAGAGAGAAAGGAAGGCTCGCTTCGATTAGCGGTGGTGCTATTTTGTGTGGCAATTCGCCTCTTCGGTGCTCCTCTGGGAGATCTTTTTTAACTTTTCCCAGCGCCGCACAAAATCAGATCAGCGCGAAAAATATCTTCTTGAATTTTATCAATTTCAAAGTTTTCTCAAGTTTAAAAAAAAACATCTTCATATTTTCTTTATCAAGATTGATGAAAATTGGCGCGGCGAAGTTTACGATCAAACTGATTTGCGAACTCTCTCTTTGTTCTCTCTTGGAAAATGAGCGCCTGCAGCTTCTATTATTTTAAGCCTCTGCCGGCGGGCGAAAGTTTTTTACGGGCCAATCATTAGCCAGCTGAGAAGAGCCTGCGAAGATGAAGTTTACGGATTTATCAAATTATACTTCGCATTTTCGATCGGTGCGCTTCTGCGTGATGAAAAAAGGACGAGAGAGGCAAGCTTTTGTATGCAGCATAAAATTTAATGACCACATCTTTCTCTCTCCTGCGGCCAATGGAGGGTGCACTTGAAAAGCCTCAACTTACTTTATTGGACCACCATGGCAAACAAACTGATCGCCGTTTTCTCCCAATCAAATTGGGTGACCTGAATGCTAAGGGAAAAAATATAGAAAAATAATATTTATGAAAAAAAAAATCAAATAAATCACGGAAGGTTTCAAATTGCTCTAACATTTGTTCTGACCATATTTATTTGTGAATTGAGAGTTTCTGATTCGCAATGATGTGACACGAAAGAATATTTTAGATAAAACTTTAAGACGATTCTTTAGATTGATGCTTTAAAACGATTTTATATTGAATTTTTTTAGCCTCTTCAATGTTTCTTTTTCATTAAAAGGGAATATTAAAAAAATTAACCAATAAAAGAATGAATCTTTCTGCAGTTCAGGCAGATTTACATTTATTTCTATTTTTTTAATTACCAATAATTAATGGTTTCAATAAAATCCTTTATCATATTTTATTATTTCTCTAATATATATATATATTCTTTTAATCCATTTTTGAGGCCATTAAAAGAAATATACCAATATTTATTGATCATAAATTCAAACTATTAAAAATTCTCATCAACCACATCAAGCAGATATTAAAATCAAATTTGCCCTTTTTACTGAAATTCTGCTTGTGAAGAAATAAATTGCTTTTATTTGTCTCTCTCCTACTTTATGTCTAAACCAATGCCACACTAGCAATAAAAGTTGCTTTATTATACAGTTTCTTCATTCTGCACCCAGTAAATCAGTTTCATCCGATAAAATTTCCATACTGTGTGCAAACCATTATTTTCCACTCTCGGATCGCTCGATCACATATTGATGAGAAAACTCTCTGCATCATTTTCTCCACTTTCACACATTTATTGCTTTCCCAGAGATAAAATTGACCTCGTTGAAGGTGTCGGGGTGTGAGTATATTTTGGATGAGATTTTCGCGCGGCCCGAAACAGCCCCGTTTCGCCGAAATCGCTCGGCACTAATTTGAGAAAACGGGCTCGCGCTGCAGGGGTGAAAACTTTGGCAGCAACACTCGCGCTCAATTTGCATGCAATAACGTGGAAATTTTATCTCGCAAACTTTCTCGCCCGCGCCGTTAAATTCACGGCGTAAGTATATTTATGTTGGCTCGAGTGTTGTTGCAAAAATATTTTCCCATGTATGTTTGTCAAGAAAATGGCGAGGCTTTGCGAGTTGCGCCTGCACACTTTATTAAACGCCCATCCCGAAACGAAATTCTATTTGCGCGCCCGAGTCATTAGCGGCGAATTTATGGCCAGAAGTCTAATTACTTGAGCTAAATACGAGCCTCTTTAGCCTTGTTTGTTATAGTTTTGCCCGCCCGAGTGACTTCATTAATTGGCGAGAGACGGTTTGCTAATTTACTTTTTGCCACTTCCATCGTAACATGAGGCAAAAAATTGTTTGCACTGGCAAAATTTTCATGCAGAGTTTTAATTCAATCGTTGCTGATTTCAGCTGTTTGAGCAGAATTTCATCAGTAACGTGTCGTTTTTAGTCCAGAAATCTCTATTTGGATAAATAATTTTGTGAGCTTATTTGATTCGTTTATAGCAAATAATTGGGCAAAATGAACAGTAAAAATTGTAGAAATAATTAAAGAAAATATAAATTTGTGTTTGACCTTCTGTTTAGTAGAAAGGGTTGACGGTTTCCCTTGATTGCGAGTAAAACGTATTTGTTAATTTCTATCGTCACAATGAGGATTGAAATTTGACTCGTTTTTTGCTTCTGGAATAACGAAAAGGAGCAAGAACTCCTTTTTGGTATTAAAAGAGGCTCTATCAATTTACTCAATTTACTCATAAAAGTAATGCTAGGAAATTAAATTATTTTTCTTTTTCTCCATGAGGCCCATATTTTGTATTGCACATCAATAATTAAGAAGCAAATTTGGGGCTGATTTTTTTTTCAAATTGTCAAAATTAAGTTACATATAAGAAAGGATGGCATCAGAGCATGATTGAAATTTATGAAGTAGGCCCCCCTTTATTTGTTTATAAAATTAATTAAAATTCAATTGCATCTTTAAAAAAAGTTACTTTAATATATTTCAAGTTAATTTTTATAATTTAATTGAAATAAACTTTGTTTTATAAGCTTTTATAAATTAAATTTATATAATAAATTTAACTTTTTACTTCAAATTTTTATTTATTTCAAGCAATATTGTTTTTAGCACTGTATAACTTTGATGAATACGAATAATATTAAATTTTAAACATTATAAATTAATTACAGAGGCATTTGTCAATCATGACTTCACATTAAAATGGAATTGTAGCTGTCTTTCGCCTTCGCTAGAATTGAGCTTAGCGCCTTGTTAGAATGTCTATAATTAAAACAATTTATGATAAACCTTCATAAAAACTACAAAAAACATCAGAAAATGACTCTCAGTAGCCCTGATTACTAATTAAGCGATTTGACAGGGCCAAGAGCAAACAGGGTCGCTTTGATTGGGCAAAACATACGATTGAGCCGATCCGAAGCGACTGGATTACGCGCGGTAAATTTTCAATCTTACCCTTCTGGAGGCAAAGCCAATTTGTGCCGAGCAGGCCGAGGATTTGGTTGCTCTCGTGACACATGCAAACAGCACCTATGCTGCTGCTGAGGCTCTTCAATTTTGCGTGCACGAAAGTGTTAGCGGCGGAAAAGAGATCAAGTTCAAGTCGGCGAGGATATATTGAGCGAACGGATATCTCGACTCTTCTCTTTGCCGAGAGAGCGGAATAAAAAGCAGGAAACCCACTTTTGAATTCGGGTTAAAAAGCTGACGAGCGGTGAATTTACAAAAAAGGGAGGCTTATCAGAGGCGCGAGGAGTGACAACGAGCGTTGGAAAGCCGCGTGATGAAACTCAATTTTTAAATAAAAGCACTGCTTTAATTAAAGCTTTTTCAGCGCTTTTTAATTAAACTTGTACTTGGTGCCCGACACACTTTTTCTGCTCCTTCAGAAATTATTTTATCCAGTTTTCGTGCTAATTCTTCGTGCTGAGCAGGATACTCTCTATTTTTTATGCTCGATCCTCACGCTATTGAATTCCACACTTTTTTGAAAGGGTTTTGTTACTTGAATTTGAAATCCCGAAGGGCCATTAAAACTTATTTATGCAGCGAATGACTTTCAGTCGCTAGATTTTCCATACAAATAAAATAAAAATCAACCAAATATAAATTTTGGATCATTATTTGCTTTTTCAATAATTTATTCATATATTATTATTTGCAACCAAATGAGACGTTTGTTTATTATCATTTTTTATTATTCTATTTCATGCCAACAATTTTTGTAGTGTTCCAGAAAATTCGAATCAAAAACGCTGCGCATTTTCCCCGGTGAAGGCTGACAATTTCGCAATTGCACGCCTGTCCGGACTGATGGTCTTTATGACTTATTGCTGTGGCTTTGGCAGGCGGAAATACTTTGCATTTTTGCAATGTGCAAGAGCGACTGATTGAAATCTTTGAAAATTGAAACCCTTTTAAAGGGGATTCACACTTCATATTATAGCAAGGTGCAACTTAAATGATTATAGTTAATATATATATTTTTTACCCTTCAAATTAGAAATATTCAATAGTCCCTAGGATAAAAAAAAATCTCTGATTTATTGCAATTTTTAATTTATCTCGCATCAATCTACTTTATTTCGTCATGCTATGATTTCTTATCACGAGTGTCATCTAATGGAAGCAAACCTGTCGTTACAGAGTCGCAGGTAAAAGGCAATAAATTAATACAAAAATTTTGACGGGTGGAAGTGGCCTGAGCTATATAAGAGGCCTCTGGGCCACACTTCATTATCAACGACTAAACACAAGTTTGATGATGTTTGCCATCAAAGAAGTTTGCGTCGCTCTCATGCTCTTGATTGTCACCGTCGTAAGTATTGCAGATTGAAAGTTTTGCATGTTTTTTCAACAATTTAAATGTCATATAATTAAAAATTTAGTAAAAAAATAAGGGTTCATAGGATTGGTTAGGCTCATAAGGGCACGGATTTTTAGCAATATCTTTGCCAAGAGTTATGAAGAACCAATAATAATATTAAAATAATAATAATAAATATAATGAAAATTTTAAAAAAAGCTGTGTGAGGTTGAAATTTTTTAGAGTTCCAGGCTTATTATAAGTGAAAATCAAACTTTAGCCCCGAATCACTTAAGGTTTTTCACTTTTTTTTTTATGTAATTGTAAGCAAATAAGCTTTTAGAAGAATGCAATTAAATATTGCGCCCTGTAAAAAGTCAGTAAATTATAGTATTATAGTACACAAATTTCTCATCCAATGACAATAACGCACAATCAAAAGGAAAACTGCCCTAATTTTCCTCTTATACTTTATTATGCTAATCCTAAAATGTAGCTAACACAAAAATAAGGAAAATCTTGTTTTAAATATGACTTGTAATGGAGTTTTCATATCATTTAAAAACCTGGTATTCCTAACGTTATCTGTATCTATTGATTGTTAATAATTAATTTTGAATTTTAGGCTCCATCTGAAGGTGCACCGAATGCACCACCAGTGGTATGAAAACCAATAATAATTGCACATTATGGTGAATGCATTAACAAATTTATATTTTTGGTTTACATAGGCTGGATTAATGGATTTCAGTGGAAAGCTCGTTCCTGGTTACAAACCTTTCGGGCTGAGTATGCACATAATTCTTTCAATTAAAACAACCTGCCTCCTTATTCCTCCAAACAACTTAATTCATAGTTCATATACGCAGTAAATGATGCGAAAAATCGGCCAGAGGAGTATGCGCTAGTGCAGCCGCGTTTTGCACGTACGAAAAAGATAAATTACATGATCGAAATTCGCTATTAATCGCAATTTGCCATCAAAACAAACATAAAATTTTGATGGAAATTAATCGATTTATCACTTGACTAAATTATTGGACATTTTCAAAGATTTACCTAACCCGGAGGAGAGGCCAGTGAACCGCCGTGGAACCCGCATACGTCCAAACACAACAACCACCGCATTACCTTCCGTAAATAATAAAATTCATTTCTTAATTACGCCATCAGCCATCACTGTGGCGCAGCTGCAGCATTTTTACCAATATTATTATTTATGAAGTTAACTAATTTGCAAATCAATCCATTTTTACTGATTTTGAAATTATTTTTTCATTCCCAGCCGCCTTCCTAAATGACCATGACGGACCGATACAGACACAGCACCATTTTCTCTTATTTTGTAAAATTTGATTGCAACTTCGCACAATAAAAAAATAAGATAACATACAAGAAGAAGAACGATTTTATTTTATTATTATTTAATGCAAACAAAAAACCTAACGAAAGTCTCGTCAAAAATATTCATTGTTAGTTTTCTAATTTAGTGATGCGTTTCACTAGCGAGATGAGGATGAGAAAAATCGCAATTTTATGGATAAAATGAAATAAAAAGAGTTTCCATATAAAAATTTAATTAAAATGCAGCCAATTTTGATATCATTTAGTCCTTGGATGATCAGACACTTATGATTAAAATATGATTGAGATATGAGGACTTTTGGGTATAAAATCAAATTGCTGAATCTAAGAAATAGGAAAAAAATATTTATCGAAAGCGATTACCGTGAATATGTATAAATTTGTAGAACAATAAACCAGAATCCAGTGATCGTTTCTCACCAAAATAAAAAATCAACACTACTTTTGCAACATATTTCCGTTCTGACACTCTTTGTCCGCGAGCTTTGGTGATAAATTACAACGCGTCGAGTGAGCAGAGATGTACACAGCCCTTTTGCTAGGCAAAAGACCTCTCTTTTTCTCTCTCTCTCGGATGTTCCGTGCACCACATTTCGCAACTAACCGCCTAACTAACTACAATTCCGCCGGCCGCCGACGGCGTTTTTAATTAAAAAATTTCCAGGCCGCCGCTCCATTTGCTGTTTAAAACATATCCACACACTCCCGACAGCACTTTTTTTGCTCCTCGGCCGATGTTTTGTGATTTACAACTCGCGGCTGGGGCGGATGGCGAAACACAATGAATGAGAGAGCAGAACACTCCATTTCGTCCTGATGCATGTATTTATAGCGAACGGCTGCATGAATGGACCAAACTAGCGGGCTCTCTTTCTCAGTGGAATAAAAAAAAACACGCGGACGCTTTTTTTAGTATTATTTCATCTGTCCGCAAACATATGCACGAGCGGGCGCGTCTGCTGTGAAATGAAATGAATTGGCGTGAGGCGAGATTGGCCCCGGATGTTTGCTGACTCGCTGGAAATTTATGAAAGCTGCGGAAAGGCAGTCCAGATTTCTCGTTTCTTTTTCAAACACGCAGCTTTGTCCATACTTTTAGAATTTTTCTTTCAAATTTCGGTATTTTTGGGCACATTTTGTCTTTTTTTCAACCAGTTTCAACAAACAAAAACGAGGGCAGAATTAAAATAAAACTTTTTTTCTCATTTGATGTAGTTTCAGTAGCTATGTGTTTTGTTGAAAACAAGAAATATCCCCTTTATCAATCACAAAATAGAAAAATAGATTAACAGGAAACTAAATTATTAATCATTAGATTTTTTACAAATGATCTGATTATTTCTCAAAAGTTCTAATAAAATTCTTGTATTTATTTTTTTTTTAAATATTGAAGGCGGAAATAGAAAAATATTTTTTACATACAATGAACAATGCAATGAATATCACATAAATATTTTTTTATTCTGCGTTTATCTTAAATAAATATATAATAAATGATAATTATGCTTTGGAAAAAATTCAAATTCTGATAATAACAGAATAACTAGGCAATGTCCTTTCCCCTTGAATTTTATTTGCGTAAAAAACTACCATAATAAAAAAAAAATTGAATATGCTAGTTTAAAGATTTGAATTTTTATGTTAAATTGTGCTTTTTTTCCAATTTGCTTTTTTTCCTTGCTCATAAAATAGGCTACAAACCGTGACCGAAACTGTTAGAGCCTTTTCGTTTTTGAATAAAAAAAATTTTTTTTTCAACACGGAAGAGCCCGATCTGTCAATTTCCATGATCATCTCCTTGAGAATCAATTTCTTCAAAAAAATTTTCAGAACTTCAGGCGATTTCTTTCATTTGTTAAATTAAACTGAATTAAACAGAGTAAAATTGATAAAAATTGATTTGGTACTTTTCATATTTTCAATTGTAATAAAATTTAACTGCTGATTTCAATTTAATATTTGAAAATAATTTCAAAACCGGAAATTCTGCCTCCAACTTCAGGACAACTGATTGTTCTCTGCAAAAACATTCTTCCAAATTGCCTTCTCGATGTCTCTGCTTCCAAAAGAGCCAGAGGAGTCAGGCAATCTCCATAATGGGCGCCCTCTCCGCTAGAAATTACAAACACGCACAGCCCCTTTTCCAAATTGGCCCTCTGAAATGGCGAAAAGCAACAAACAAACGAACGAGGAGGCTAATGAAAAGGTCGTTGGCCTCGCTTTGCGGTTCGCTTTCGGTGGGGTGAAGTTTTTGACAAAAGAGACTTGCCAGCAGAGATCCGTTTATTCTTTGGCTGGAGAATTGCCATCTTTTTTTTCTGTGCGACGGAGGCAAAAATTGATGTCAAGTCCACGCACACGGTTTAACGAGAGATGGACCTGCATTTCGGAGCGGCCGTTTTAGATAATAAAGAAGAGGAAGTCGCATTGTGCGAGCGGCGCAAACGACTCTGCCGACCAGGTCGGACGAAAAGCGTCCGCACGCATTTTCGAGCCACTTTGCCGATCGATAGATAATTCGTGGTGATGCGCGACGCTTCGTTTAAGCTGATGGCCTTCCATATCGATAATGCTCAATACTGACGTGCCATTTTGAGAAACATTTATCGATGGACGCGTGTGTTGGCTATCGGCGACAAAGTGAGGGACTAAGTAAGTCACTTTCCTTCTCCCCGGCGCCTCCAAGAACTTTATTCTAGGATGCCATCAATTACGGCAGATAACAATCCACCTTTCTTATGATGCCTTCGCCCTCTCTTTTGTTATCCAATCTATCAATAGACTAAAGAATATTGTGCCAATCTTCGTTGAAAATAGTTTTGTTAAATTTGTTAAAATACATAGGCAAAAAATACAGCCTAATAAATATTTGTTTTGTATTTGCTGGTAAATTCAAAAATTGATCAAGAGTTCCAATTGGCGAGGATATATTGAGCGATAAGATATCGCGGCTGTTCTCTTTTCCAAGAGTGGTATGGTGACGTGCAGAATGAAAAGCCTTTTGAAGTCCGGTGAAAATAAGTTCATAAATTAGGTTGAAAAGATGTCAAAATGATAATTTATAACTAAAAAAGGGAGGCTTATCAGGGACAAAGACTTACAATGAGTCTTGTGTTGCAAACCAATTTTTACACAAAATAATTACTTTTTCATTTATTTTAAGATCGTTAAAGATAGATTTTAAAAAATTAAGAAACGTACAAAAAAACTAACAACTATTAATTATTTTAAAATAAATTAATAAATGTAAAATTCTATTTCACATATTTTATAATTAAAATTAATAATTTTTCTCTAAATATATTTAAAGTAATTCAATTTGTTAAAATAAACATAAATTTACACCTTAATAATAATAAACATTAAATAAAATATTTATTATAATTTAATATTATAATATAAAATATAATATAAAATACACTATAAAATTATAATAAACAAAATAATTAATTATTAAAACTAGTTGTCGTTTTATACTTTAACGGCAAAAAAATATCAACTATGACGATTTCGACTTTCAATCGACTAAAATATTTTATTCTTGAATATCCGCGAACCGCTATTTTTGCTTAATGAAGTGAATCAGTGAAATAGTGTCATTCCGCCACCATCACATTGAAATCGTGCCAATGCTTCTCTATTAACGCCGACCGCGTTTAATTTTGCCGACTGCGTCTCGCACATACCAGCATCCAGATGGAAACCTCGTGAATTGAGCTTAAAATAAAAATTTATTGCCAGGGCGCGCGGAATTTTTTCATTATACACACACTGAAAATTCCACTGATTTCGCATTCCACGCCACAATAGCGGCTGCCAGCGAATTTATTTATAGAGGGAGGAAAATAACGCCGGGAAGTTTCCCCGAAATCGTCGTAAAATGCAGAGGGGGATGAGCTGCAAAGCTCCGATTACATTTTCTGGCACTGATTTTGTGCAATTATGGAGAGAAGGGAATAATAACGAGAGTCCGGTGAGAAAAGAAATCCTCTTTTCTCGAGATAAAATAAAAAAAGAATCGGAAGTGGTGGCGTTAGCATTGATTAAATTCAGTCGATACAGAGAGAAGAGACCCTCATCTCGCATGCTACAGGCTTTCCCAGAGATAAATATATGCGCCCAAGGAAGACTACAAAGGCCACGCTCTCGACTCAATGGAATTTGCTTTGACGACGACAAGGGAAAAAACGCGAGTTTCAGCCTCCAGGAGGAGAATCCACTCTTTGTTTTGCAAACAATAACGAATTCATGAGTGGCGACACACGGGTATGTGTAAACACAGCTCGCGCTGCATAAATGCGTGTGTGTATTATTCAAGAAACAGAGAGGAATAGTGGTCCGCAGGTTGCATACTCACCCGACCCTGTTTGCCAGTTAGAGAGACACGTCGGCATTAAATATTCATAAGCCTCATTGGTCACCCTATTTGCGCGAATTATTAATGGGCAGCGAGCCGGACGCCGGCAGGTGAACATTTTACGGTCGGACGCAGATCCGGTGCTTAGGCGCGTCTCTGCAAAACGAGCGTCTGAGAGCTTTAATCTGTATTTATTTGGATACGGCCTTGCGTATTCAGTCTAGCCTGAGCAACGCTGCGTTGAAATCTCGAGGGTTTAATTATTTTTGGGCCCAAAGTGGGGCATAAATTCGAGTTAAGCATCATCCGGCAACCGTTGGGCTAAATTCAACCATGAAATTAACTGAGGGAATAATTTTGAGACTTTAATTATAGGCTTTGCCAACCTCAAATTCTAAAGTTGAATGGGAGAAAAACGCTTATAAATGACATTAATTTCTTCAAGGACGACCATGCGCAATTTTTTTCTGTGAAAATATTAAATTTAAATAAAACGTAAGAAACAAGCATGAGTGAAATAGAGAAGATTTTTCATGAAATTATTTATGCCAAAAAAAATATGCAATGGAGAATGGATATGTTTTAAAAACAAGTCTAAATCTTAATAATATTCATTTATCCTTTTCTTCGTTTATAATAATAATTCATGAGCTGTAAAATCATATTGACAAAAG